CCCAACTAGAACAATGTAATAAGACACAGATATGTCATGACAATCGAATTGGTAACAGTAAACCGGGATGGCAGCTGACTGCTAAGGAAAATGCCTCAGACTCTTTTTTTCATGTAAAGGTAGGGGATTGTTCTTCTGTACAGTAGAGATAAATATGACACATAAAACATAATTTAAGAGGATTTCAGCACTGCTTTCAATCTTCTTTCTTGGAATGTTGCATTATGATGTTACAAGAGTCGATTTATTTCAGCGCATATTTTGTTGTGTACTGTGTTAGAAGTTTTTAATCTTCTTTGTTCTTTTAGCTGTTCCTGGAAAATATATTATGTAAAAAAAAAAAAAACATAACTAAATACAACCAAAAAAGAAAGTCACATTTTTTATTTTTTTTTCATTTTCTCCAATGTATGCAAGATAAATCCTTGGATCAGTGAGAATAGAAGCCCTTCATAAGGACTACTTTGTAATCTACTGAGGTTGCTCTGGGAAGTAAAAGCCTGATTGACAAACCCTTTGTCAGCTCACTTGTTCCCTTTTACTGTACCTTCTGCAGTTCTTGCTGAGAGCCACAATCACTGATGATAAATACAGGTGCTGGTCATAAAATTAGAATATCATGAAAAAGTAGATTGATTTCAGTAATTCCATTTAAAAAGTGAAACTTGTATATTATAATCATACATTACATACAAACTCATATATTTCAGATGTTTATTTTGTTTAATTTTGATGATTACAAATGACAACAAATGAAAATCTCAAATTCATCATATCAGAAAATTAGAATATTACTGAAGACCAATAAAAACAAAGGATTTATAGAAATGTTGGCCAACTGAAAAGTATGAACATGAAAAGTATGAGCATGTACAGCACTCAGTATTTAGTTGGGCCTCCTTTGGCCTGTATTACTGCAGCAATGCGGCGTGGCATGGAGTCGATCAGTTGTGGAAACTGCTCAGGTGTTATGATGCCCGGGTTTGGGCTCTAATAGGGGCTTTAGCTCTTCTGAATTGTTGGGTTGGGTGTTTTGCATTTTTCTTACAATACCCAAGATTTTTTAGGGGGTTTAAGTCAGGAGAGTTTTGGCCAATTAAGAACAGGGATCCCTTTTGTCCTTCAACCAGGTATTGGTAGTTTTCAAACTTTGGTGTGAGGTGCCAAGTCCTGTTGGAAAATGGAAATCTGATCTCAAAAAGTTGGTAGTGCAGGAAGCAGAAGGGGCTCTAAAAATTTCCCGGTATGTGGTGCGTTAAAACCTGGAAACCTCAGAAAACACAAGGAAAAACCCCAGCAGAGGCATGGCATTCCCAAAAACCATCACTGACTGTGAAACTTTCAAAAATGGGACTTAAAAGCAAGTGGATGAAGTGCCTTCTTCTTTTCCTCCGGGTTTGGACCTTGTTTTCAAAGGAAATGCAAAATTTACTTTTCATCAGAGGAACTGATTTTGGGAAACCATCACTCAGCAGTCTAGCTTTTTTAGCCCTTCGGAGCATGTAGGGTAAGAAGGGGAAAAACCACAGGAATCCCGGTACAGACGAAACAACCATTGTACTTTATAAACCGTAACTGATGGTGGTGGACGATGATCTATTGATAAGTGATACAACTCACTCCACATGCAGTCACTCTTTGTGAATCCCTGTCTACCACAATATTGGACAGAAGGGTGGTGTATGTTTCGAAAGCTCTCCAGGATCTGGGATATATTCCTCTTGAGCCTTTCTTATTCTAATTATTCATAGACACTTCTTTTGCGACCTCCTCGCCCTTTAATGTGAAGTGAGCTTGAGACACTCACGAAGCCATGTGAAAAAACAGCCAGTGAACCTACTCTATCAGAAGATGATTGAGCCTTATGAACACTTTGAGTGTCTTACTACCTTGTCAAAGGTTGTCGCAAATAGTGAAATAGTTTTTGGATAAATAGATCAAAATCTAGACCCTCTATTCCTAATCACTGCCATTGGACCACCATTACAGAATCAGCCACTCATTTCTGCGTTGGCAAGGCAGCTTAGCTGCCCTGCCAGAAGCGGAGGAGCTTTGTCTCAAAAAGTGTCATCTGTCTGCTGACTTTATAGCTCTTTGCTTTCACAAAAGCCTTTATGTTTGATCTGAATGAGAGAGCTAAAACAAGACTTTAAAATAATTTAGGTTTAAAACTCTCTTGTTAACCATAAGGGCACAAATAAAATTAACTTGAATTTCATTATTAGAATGTTTTGCTGTCGGTACATTTAGTTGCATAAAAACTGACGGGTATTAGAAGATATTTACATAGGATAAAAATGGTAGACAGCGACATTCAAGATTGCTATGAATTAAAAAGTTTTGAAAACATTTTTAAACTTATTTGCTATTACATCTTATGGTATATTGAGGATAATACATTAGATAATTGTGCTGCAAAATAAAACTTAAAGCTTGTACCATCTGCAGATTTTTCATCTTTTCATTTCTGGGAATTGCACTCCATTTTTAAGTTAGTGTTGTGCAGCTTTATAATTTTCAGTTTTATTTTGTATAATCCTTCCAGTTAATGAGTATGACTTTATTTATATCTGTTGCTCGATCAGTGAAACACCAATTAAATACATTGAAGTTAAATTAAATGATTTAAAAGTGTATTCAAGGGCTATAATTCAACCTTCAATTGTTGTAAACCTGCAATATTAACTTGAACCATGTGAGGAAGTGAAAAGGAATTTGAATATCACAGATCTGCTACCTCCAACCTCTTTAAAAATTCAGAGTTACAAAATGATGGGAAAATTGTTTGTTTAGGATGTGAAGAGTAAGAGAACAAGCTTCATATTTAATGTAGAAGTATTTGTGGTATTGATTTCCTCTGGACAAGAAAACCAACAGGAGAAAGTGTTAGGAGGAAATATTCCTATTAAGTATGTCGATGAACACAGCAACACATTAGTATGTTAATCTCCCAGGGGGGGATATTTAATTGTCTTTTTCAATATTTTATACTTAGTAATTTCATTTTAAATGAAAATATATATGGGGAATAATTACAGCAGAAAACCAGATGCGAGTGAATTCACATCTTGATCACATGTTTCAGAGTGAAACAAATTGCCCTTTTTGGCACCCAATTACAGTTTCCTCCTCACCCACACTTGAAATGGCAATTTCCTTCTCAATGGGTCTCCAAGTCAATAAGTACCATTCTGATTTGTCCCCTCAGTGCTCAAGAGAGGCAGTAATTATGCAGACATATGGAGACACATCCAGTGGTACCTTTACTTCAAACCTATTTGGTTTAAAAAGAGAAACCAGCACAGAGAAGTGACTTTGAATTAGCAGAGCAGTTTATACATTTTCTAAGTTGCAGTAATTGTTGGATTTACTGCAGTCTGAATATATATATATATATATATATATATATATATATATATATATATATATATATATATATATATATATATATATATATATATATATATATATATATATGTTGGGTTTTAATCCAGAGAAATGTGAGTTTAAAAGATTTCTTTCAATGTTTCATATGTCCACACAATAATTTTATAATTATCACTCTAACAATATATATATGTGAGGGTGTGTGAATAAAATCTATGTGAATATATATGTGATATATATATGATTTTTTTTTCACATATATCTATCTATGTATCTGAAGTTTAGTTTAAAACATTTTAAGGCAATTTTACATGGTATAGCTAAGAAAAAAGAACGCTTTAACTACTGATCTTGCTCTTCTTTAATCAATACCTCCCTGCAGCTGCAGGAGACTCAGACAAAAGAGGAGACAAAACACTGGGGAACATGATTACACGGATTCGCCTCTCTGGGCTGACTTTTTAAAGTTGGCTTGCCTCTAGATGTCTTTGGAGAGTAAGATTTCTTTCTAACAAGCACACAAAAAGAAAGAGAGGGCATGGGAGCCTGGGAGTCTCACACGCAGAGGTTCACCTCGGTAGTCTCATCCCACAGAGACTAATGATTAAGGATGGGGTTAAATTGTGTGCCGGGAGGAATACAGCAGGATTTCCTTATTAATATTTGCTGTCATAGGGATTCAGCATTTTTTGTCTATGATTCCAACAGACTAAACTCCTGGATTACTGTCCAGCCTATGTCAGAGTCAAAGATAATTAGTTTTTTTCGGTTTGGTTTTTCCAGCCCCAATCACTATTGTGAGCCTAATGCAAACCACTGTGTGAGGGTGTGTGTGTTCATGAATGGTAACCAGTTACACTGAAGCCATCTGATAGTGGTGTGGTTTGGAGGATGATGGAGACTGCAGGTTCAAATTCCTTTAATTCTTAGACACCCATTCAGACAGTTTGTGTAACAAAACACAATATTCCAACAACAAGCAGTGTCCATGTGCATGTAACTCAGGAAAAGCACTGATTTACTAGAGATTTACCCTGCCAAATTCTAAATCCTGATTAGAGCCTTAGATTTTTGCATGTCATTTTGGTTTTTATTTCATGTGTATGTGTTTCTCCTTCTTTGTTGTCCATTACATCTTAAGATTTTGAAACCTTAAAATTTTTCAGTTTGTTACTTTGTTCTTTATGGTTTTTTATGTATTGGCCCCTAAACAAGAGAGCAAACAATCCTAATCAGTGTTACAATGGAATTTAAAGTAATACAGTAATTGGTTTTAAAGCCATTTCATTTTGTCTGCTTGATTAATCTTTGAAATGGAGAAAAGAGTCATGCAATGCAGATCAGAACACCTGGAAAACATCAGACTAGCTGGCATCATCATACATTTCAGATTCCAAATCTCTGTTGTGTGAAATATTAATCTCTACATCTGGGCTGTTGTGCACCCCTAGAGAGTTTTCAAACCAGCAGCAATTTGAGAGGAGAAGGGTAAACTTTTTAAGGTGTTCATTTATTTTTCCACACACAACTGCTGTATCCCTTGCTTTAGGTCTTAGGTGAATTATGACATTGACAATTTGTTCTGTCTCTCTCTCTCTCTCTGGGTTCAACAGAATGGTGAGGCATCCCTTTTTGAGGTGAACATCCGTTACGTCGGCGGGTTGCTTTCAGCGTACTACCTGACAGGAGACGAGGTAAGATTAATAGAAGTCTGTTGTCCTTTTTCTCTGGTGAGATCTGCTGCTTCCTTTATCTCCAGCCAGCCCAGTAGTTTGAATGATGAACACACTGTGTGAGTGTGACAGCAGTGTTTGTGAAAAGTAATGGGTCACCAAACTCCCACCAGAAAAAAAACTTTTATAATTTAGGCTCTTGATGTTTGAGTTTTTTTTTTTTTTTACTACCACTAAATAGATAAAAACTGTAACTGATATGGATCATATTGATTTACATTATACTGTAGGTTACCCCTACCCCTAAATTACATTATGTCTGGTCTCAGTTAAAATGACCAAGTTTTTATTAAATAGCCAATGGTGATTGTACAAAAAAGACTGTTTGTCAAAGTACAGTACCTTGAGAGATTTAAATTGATTTTCTTTAACTAGTTTAGGGTCTTTGTCATTCATTTAAATGCTTATTTTATAAACTGTAGACCCATTTACAGTAAAGTAAATGAGCCTGAATATGATTGACTGTTGAAATGTACAACTACAGAATTACTGTCAATTAAACTGGTTATGCACACAGGGATTCAAACTTTTTTGTGTGAATTTTTAGTTAAATGTTTTAAAGTTGGGCTTATTTTAATTAGCTTCTATAAAAAAATGGCTGGTATGTAAAATTGAAATACAATTGGTGCAACATTACACATATAAATTCATTTATCCCCCCATTGGATTGGCTTTTGAGTTGATTTGGTTCGTTTTTCAAAGGTATTAATGTAAAAATGATTTCAAATATGTACCCTATTAACCCTGGATGAATATGGTGTATTTGTTTGATTAATTTGTCCATCAGAAACTGAAAAACTCAAAAAAGTTTATTTGAAGTGAAGGCAAAACCAATATAAGTATGCGATATTACTATACTGTTTTACTTCTGTAATATTTTCTTCATCCCTGTAAAGTATTCCTCTCCTTCCTGTTGTCACTTTGTCAGTATAATACTCCCATATACAAATACACCTCTCTAGTATCACATTCAGGCAAAGTGTCCAGTAGCAATGCTGTAATACACTTAACAGGTTGAAGGCTAATTGTCATGTTAATCTAGTCAAGTAGTCTACCCTGCCATTAACTTCATAGCTGCCAAGTGGGCTAACGTTGTGCACTGTAACCTTATTTTTTATGCTTCTTTTCCCGTCTTAAACTTCCTGAAAAGCATCTGTTTGAGTTTATTTGAACATGTAATTTGCGACTGATACCACAACCTCAAAGCATAGCTGCTTCACTATGGCAACAGTGTGGCTGTGGAGACCCTTCCATTCCACACCTTCCCTAAAATCCCAAACATCTGTGTTTTAGGCACCTTTATACAAAGCCAGTTGTCACCTATTAGGTACACCTTGGTAGCTGTGGGTTGGAAGACTTAAGTGTTTAGAGCTGTCTAAACTTTGTGGAATGGATTGATCAACTTGACACAACCATTCCTCAGACATTTTGGTTTATGTTGATGATGATGTTAAGCCTTTCCTTTGCATCAATGATGAAAATCTCCCGTTCAACATCACAAAATTAATCTATTGGATTTAGATTTGCAGAATGTGGAGGCCATTAGAACACACAGAACTCTGTTCTGTGGTAATGAAACCAGTTTAAGATGATTTGAGTTTTATGACATGGTGAAATTTAGGCTATGGCATTTAAGTGGTGCTCGGTTATACTAATTTGGGCAAAGTGTACCAGTAAAATATGCCTCATGCCTTTACATAACTAACACAAGGTTTGATCCGGATGGGTCCATGCTTTTATGACTCTACCATGTAAATGTTTTATCTGAATAATAACCACAATAGAATAGGGGGCATTTTAAATCTGTCCCTTAAGGAGGCTAGCCCAGTGTCTTAGCTTCCATTAGGAACCTCCTCATCTTCTGCGATCTTCTGCTGTTGTGGACCCCATTTATTTTAGGTGTTGTGTCCTTTTTTTTTTTTAGCTTTTTCAGCTGCCCATTGGATAGTTTGTGTTTTTAGGACTATTTTTGTAAATCTACGATAGTTGCTTGGGAAAATCCTCAGGATCTCAGCAGTTTATTGGCTTGAATTGGTCGTCTTCGACACATCAAGATGGCTAAAGGCCTTCAGTGGCTGCCATGTGATTGGTTGCTTTTCTGTTGGTGCTTTTTACCAGGCAATGAAACAGATGTTAAGAAAATCTTTCTTTTTCTTTGACTTTAAATAACACAGTGTTCCTATTTTTAAATCTGGTTGGAAAAGAAAATTGACATTTATTCTAAAAAATGCTCAATTGTTATAGCTACAGGTTTAACTCCCCCCAGCTAGTGGGTTAACCTACCATCCAGAAGAAAACATGTGGCCTCTGCTTCCCTTTGCTTCCTTAAATCAAAAGCAACAATCAAAAGCTTGAATGATGCTGACCCTTATTTTTATTCTTTTTTTTTATTTTAATTTTTAACAGAGGTTTTTGAATCTGAGAAATATAAGCATAGGAAGAAGCAGTTATTCAGATCTACAGATACTGTAATAAGATCTGGCTACGCCAAAGCTCAGTTTCACACAACTTCACACTACTATATTGTGTTGATGTTAGCATTATAAAAGAATTAAATATTCACATATTATGCAACCATAAACATTTATAAAACGAGAATTATTAATAATTTTCATTCTTAATAAAGATATTTGTGAAGCAAATTTATTCAAGTTATCAATTTTCAATGAAAATGGATAAATTAATGGCCCTCCCAAAGAGTTTGTTTAATACATGTAAAAATGCCAGATTCATTATGCTTTGGCAAATAATAAAAAAGTAAATAAGAGGACAAAGGGGCGCTTTATCTTTCAGTGTCTCTTGAAATTTTGACTTACTTTCTGCTGTATAGATTTTCCCATCAGTTCACTCATGCACATGTTTTTTTCTCTTTAACTTTAGAGTAGAAACACTTAAAAATAAAAGTGTATAATACTTTTAACAGAAAGTCGTTTTAAATGTTTCTTGATGGCAAAAGACAGGAAGATTTAAATTTAAAGAATGTTTTTAAAGCTGTTATGATTGATCAATGGAACAGAGGTATTTTTAAGGAACACGGCCTTACGTCTCTAGATTTGGAATTTAACATTCACTTTGATTCTTGTTGGAAGCCTTTTATTCACTCAGCCTTATAAAACCGTTAGTGAATAATCCAAACTGAAGTTACACAAATTGTTTCAGAGCAAGCTCTTTTGAATTTAAGAGATGTCCTTGAAGCTGCCACTGGCAATTGAAAGAAGGTGCTTGGAGCAACAGACTGTTTTTTGCAGTGTCCTGTGTGCAGATGTGAAGCTGTGAAACTTTAAGGGTGCCAAACCTGGCATTGCTTTAAAAGAAATGTTCCTGTCCAGTAAGCTCTGGCTGGATAAATAATGGTTTAAGATTGCCTCTAACAACCACAGAGAACTAGAGGTTCAGTTCATTATCAGAATCTTTTCAAGTCAGTGGAGGTCAATATGTCACCATAATTAGCCTTATAAATCGAGCATGTTTGATTTTATTCAGCTGCAGACTGCAGTCAGAGGGAAGAGACCGAAGCATTACTAGATGCACTGACATATGAACATTCAGTCGCTGTAATGGTCATTGATTTGCAGGCCAACTGAGTTGAGTAGAGAGAAGCGTAAAATCGTCCACCACTGCTGAATGAGTGAAATGTGAATACATTACCAGAGCAGAATATTTTGTCTGCTCCATTATTCCACATTTGCTTGCCATTAAAGTCATTCAGAAGATGTTCCCCTATTTTGTTCACTGTTCCATGCAAATTTGTATATATGGGATCTCTGGTGGAACTTTCTAAAATGAGCATATAAAAGAAAAATCCTTTTCTTCAAAGATTCCTATTATCTTACAACTGCACTTAAACTAACTAATCATGAATTTTGAGCACCTTCTATAAAAACGTTTAACCTTCAAATTTTTAGGTCCTTTATTTAATGTTCGTCCTCTAACCAGTACTTTTTTGTTCCGTTTACATTCCCTGTTTGCACAATGCTACCCTTTCCTGTCTTAAATTACCAACAGACCTATTAATACTATTCATCCTATTCTGATATCCATCACATTGGTCTTTCATGGGTTTTTTTTGTGAGGGTTACTGACAAATTTATACCTGCCAGATCCTCCACTCTCCCCCATTAGAGACTTCCACCAGCAGTCGGGCGTTCAATTCGGATGATAAAACCAACAGATTGAAGGTCTGTCGCGGCTGCCGAGACTTAAATCAGCTGAGACACCGAGACTATTATGAGATTGTGGATCCAGTTTGACCAGAGGATATTGGACAGCTGGTGCTGCTGTAAATGATTGCTGGGGAGCAGGAGATGATTATGGCTCCTTGTGGGACACAGTTTGCTGGAGAAGTGCTTGAAGCAGAACGGCAACAACACCTGACCATTAATAACCTCCTGTTGTTTTGACCGTGTGGGATGTACTTTTAATGTGTGTGTTTTCTTGGAGCCCCAGAAGGCTAATAGCTGGTCTTTATGGAAACACTCCTTACAATGAATGTCTTGTTCAAAAGGGACCCAGCTGCTGCTGCCACCTTTATCATAATAACATCCTCCTGGTGAGGTCTAAGGCTTTTGACAGAATTAAAAAATACCATAAATGCTACTATTTTGTTTTTATTTAAATATTTAGAATTTTGCACCACTAGTGCCCTCTATTCACAGAATTTAGAAAGACATGGACAGAGAAAGACGAGAGAGAAGGAACAAGATATGCATCAAAATACACCAGATTAAGGATCCAATCCTGGAGCAATAGCCTCCGTCTAGCAGGTGCCGGCTTTAACTTTCTGCCATGTGCCATTGCTTTTCCTTATTTTTGTCTATGTTGAAATGATCTTACTTTTACTTTTTTTTTCATTCGATTTAAAGTATAGACTCGGGTTTCAAGTCATGACAGTATGAATGTTTAATACAGTGGTGGAATAAACTCCTAATAAATCTTTTCACCCTACTTTTCAAACTTTAAGT